AAGACTCACAAAAGAAGCTGCGAATTATGTTCCCACTTTTCAATCAATGACTGCTGCCGGAAAGGGGTGAAAGGAAGCTTTAATTGGACTTTAAGGGGATTGAATCACGCAAGTGTGAACTGTAGAACAAAGTCTTGTGGATATGCAAAGTATTTTTTCATTCTGAGGTGCATGCAGAGCCGAATCAACTCCCCACACTCATATTCCTTCCTGTCACATAGAGAAGGAAAAGGAAAGGAATCTTTCTTTCATTTTTTATTTTTACACATCTGCAAAAACAGCATTAGATAACTTAGTGGAAAGGGCTCAAGAGGAAGAAGAGAAAGTTTTGAAGTCACTCAAGAAAAAAAAAAGCATTAGCCCTCTTATATAAGCAAGAGGGAGGAGAAACAACAGTGAAGGAGGAGAAAGAGGACAAGCTCCATCGGCAGCGTTTTTTTTTCTCCTTTTTCTTTTTTTTTACGTCAAGCTAAGAGACCAGGGCCTCTGCCCTCACATTAACACACACACACACGCACACACATACACACACAGAGCTGGTGGGAGTACTGTGAGGGTGTTTAGCTACAATGCAGCTGTGCTTTCACAGATGTGTTTTTGGACATTTCTTTAGCCAAAACAGCAAACACTTGGGGTCGTTGGGTCGGCTCAATCGGGACGATTCCCAAAGAGTTCAGTCCACAAACAGCTCATCGGATAAAGATAAGCAGTGGGAGCTTTTGAGGATCGTCTTGATATGCAGAACACAATGCATTGGAAGACCCCCAGTCCCCCTTCTCCCCCCCAAAAAATTAATATTCGAAAAATGATTTTTGTGTTGAGTCAGGTGTTCTTTGTCTGATAATAAATTTGTGTTACTGATTTGATGATCTGAAAAACCATTTTTTTTAAAACCATGGTTAAATATGTAATTTAATAAACCAATTGTATGGTTAGGAAATCATCCAGCTGAAAACAAACGTTAACATTATGCACATATTAAGAATTATTCTATCAAAGACGATCCTCCGTATAATCATACGCGTTCAAGACAGACACCAGGGATTCCCCCAGGGCATTATAAGCCTGGCGTGCCACCAGACTTTGTAAATGCCAGCATTTTTAAAAAGAGTTTATGGTTGGTGTTCAGATATTAATCTTCCAATCTTCCATAACACATAATTATCAAGTGATACTATCAAATTTCCTGTCAACTTTAAACATTTTTCAACTCAAAAACACGGCGGGCGGCTGGATAAATGACTGCCGAGCGCCACAACCACCAGGCTTAGCAAGTTTTCTGAGGGAAACCTCAGATACAACAATCAGGCATAACATTACGTCTACCTGCCTACTAGTGTTAGGTTCCTTTTGCTGCCAAAATGGCCGTAAAACATGGTGGCGTGGACTCCACAAGGCTGTGCTATCTGGCAGGAGGTCCTTTAAGTCCTGGAGGTTACGAAGCAAAGCCTCCATGGATCAGACTAGTTTGCTCAGCACTTCCCACAGACGCTCGATCGGGGAATTCAGTCAACACCTCATAGAGTCTTTGGTGATCTTGTCAAACCATCCCTAAAGTAGTTTTTCATTTTGACACGGAGCATGATTCTGTTGGAAGAGAAATAAACCTGGGGATGCTGCTTTCACGAGAAGGTAGTCTGCAACAGTACTTGTTTGGATGTACAGAAGAAGATCTACCTGGATGGCAGGACCCAAGATTTCCCAGATGAACATTGGTTTTTGCCTTCTTCTCCGTGTAAGGGATGGAAGCACTTGAAGGTCAATATTTCTCACCAACAGGTACCACAACAAAGAGACAATCAGTTTTATTCACTCCTCTTGTTGCTGCTGTTAATCTTGTGTTTGACGGGATTTTATCCAAGTCCCTCTCCACACCTTCTTTCTTCTGAATATCCATTTCATTTCATATGGAATTTGAAATGAAAAAAGGGAAATACGAATTTCCATTTTTTAGGGATTATCTGACATCACAATATTGTTTTTACCTGCAAGAGTCGTCTACAGTAGAAGGAGGAACCGGGTCGGTCGGCATGCTGTTTTGTCTGTCGGCCATATTGGATTTAACAAAAATAATTTCTTGCATTTGCAGCTGATGGCCAGTAGTTGATAGTGTATTTTATGATGCATTAGTGTCCACTTCAGTGGTCTGTGTGCATTTATGACATAGAAATCCACAAGAAGCACAAGAAAATGGCTTTTAGACAGCTGTCCACCACAGTGACCACTATGTATGAAAGGGATATACAACATAATGAAAGCTCCACATGCTTATTTCACCAAGCTGGAGACCGACAGAGAACATCCGTTGCACTTAAAGCTCCAAACCTTGTGAGAGAGCTGACAGGAAATGAGATCTTCACTTGAAAGCTTCCAACACGTCCTGGTTGTATTTGCCTTTCTTCAGCTTGAACTTACCGATGGAAATCACGGCACTGGCTTAATGTCATGTCGTCACAACGAGAAAAACACCAATGTCCCAGTTCACTCACTGTGTGACTTTGCGTGCCAGCAGGTTGCGCAGCTCATCACTCCTAACCACAGCCAGATCCCCGTTGCGACTCAAACACTGCTGTCGAGCGTCTTTCCAGCTCAGCTCCGCTGGAAAGATCTGGAAGCAGCTGGAGGACTTGCTGTGCAACACCCCTTCCCTCGGAGGACAGTCCGGGAAGGCTGGCGAGAAAGCAGCAAACAGTCGTGTGATTTCTCAGAATATCTGAAGTCACACTATGAGGGAAAAGACAGTTCCTTAAAAAAAAACAAAAGATTACTAAAAGAAAATATGCAAGAACACAATAAATGGGATTTTAAATATGCTTCTCATTTGATCCTTATCACCACCTTTTATGACTAAAACCTGGATTGTGTATTTTTCTAAAATCTGTGCTACATAGAAACTAAAACACAGATCAAATTACATCAAAACTCTGATGTTGTAGTCATGGTTTTGGATTAAAAGTTGAGATAAAGGGAGTAAAATGTCTTCTATTTTTACGTACTGCAAACTGCAGTACGTAAAGAGAGAAAAATAAAGATAAGTGCATAATTGAAACTTGTCTGATAAGTGAAGTTTTTGATTTGGTTATGTACAAACTTGCATTAACTATGCAATAAAGCAAACTGTTACGGGAAGTTAGAAAGTTATTAAGTATTGGTTAAAAAATATAGCGGAGACTTGTCGATCTGTGAAAAGTAAGTCTTTAAAAAAGAGGTGTAAAAAAGCAACTGCTTTTTTACACGGATATATTTTTTAAACAATACAATATATTGTTTATTATCATAGTGCAAAAAAAGTTTAAAAACCAAAAAAAGTGGCAATATGTTTGCTGAATATAAGTTAAATCAATGTGTTTCAAAATGTGATTTAATGCACTGACACCATGAAACTAGTAAAATAATCTTTTTGTTTCATTTTATGTTTGATAGGCATTTGCGTTTGGGTGAAAAAAGTGACAAAGTGAAACTATAACATTTTTACTATTATATATTCAGCCATAGCAGGTGAGTAAGTTATAATATCATGTGTTAATATCCACAGCTGCTTCTCCAGCGAGACGGGGTCAATTAGATGTTTTATCTGACTTCATCATGGCATGCTCCTTTTCTTTGTCTATTTCATTAATGGTCCCATTATTGTTGAAATAAGAACCAAACGTGATCCGATAAGAGATTAAACGTAATAAAAAAACATACTTTGCACAAGCCAAGACTTTAAAAAGACCCACAGTGGATATTAATTAAAAATCCCAAATCGTTTGTCTTAGAACGATTTGGCTTGGAGCGTTTTATCTCACACTGATGATTTATTACAGCTGCCCTTCAAAACAAGAACAAAATTACATCTTTTCTTGAAGAGTAGTGAAATTAGACTAGGCTTCAGTTTCCCATCTGACAACCTTCCACGTTAAACTGAAACCGAGATCCAAGTCACAGAGAAAACAACGAGCAGTTTGGGGTCAGAAAACATTTCCAACAGGTAATCTGCACCTCGCCGTTAGTTTCACAGAGCTCGTGTGTCGTCGTCGGTATATTTCTCTTTTACCTTTGGCAACCTGGACATCGTTCTGTGAGATTGTCCAGTTCACATTTAGGCCGACGCCGCCCCAGCTGACCAGTGTGACGTCCACGCTCTTGTTGGCCACGACGAACGACGGGCAGTGCAGCTCGAGTTTGGGAGGAAGAGCCACAGTCACGTCTGTCTGCGCAGACACCTGAGTAACAAACACAAAGCCAGACGCTTAGCGTTCTTTTCACCTGCTCACAAGCGTTAACAATAAGTTGGGTTCATAATTGTGGTAAAAGACTCGTAGTAAAAAAAGCACATATTTCTGAAAATTAACGTATTGATTTCTAACTCTTCTTAGTAGAATTGGTGGATATTGTGAATTTGAAATAGTTGGTTTTCTGTGCCAGACCCGGCACATCAGGACATTACCCGGCTTTATCTACTTCAAAGAGTATTTTGGGATTATTATTGTTGTCCTTCTGGAACATCATCTTGTGTCCAAAATTCAAGAACGAAGTCACTGATTTGAATTGAATTTGATGGGTTTTCAGGTTATTATTCCACTTTATCCAAAATACCTGCACTACTGCCTCACATCATGTTGTGGCAACAACTTAACCAGTAAATTCCAGTTTATGATAAACTTAAACCTTTTTATTTTATTTTATTATTTTTTTTTTTACATCTGTATCATATTGTTAAACCTGAAGACAACATGTTATTCCAACAGGTCAAAAGACCCCAAATACACATCAGAAGTGTTTTGGGAACGGGTGAAAGAAGCTACAAGTACAGTTTTGGAAACTCCAATCCCAGTTGTATCAGGCATGTGTGAATTTTGGGTCAGTGCCAGGAAAGCAAGCAGTTTAAATGAATGAATTGAACTTTAGAGGTCAAATATCCAAACTGAGTTTTGTCCAGAAGCATGTCGGTGCCACAAAAAGAGGTTTCACCAAATAATAGTCTGAATTTTTGTACACATTTAAGCTTTTGTTAATAGGAAAGAGGAAAGAGGGAAAACAATTCACTGCAAACTCCAGGTAGGATCTGGAAAAGTAATAATTTATAAAAGTGTAAACTACTGACTGGCATGGCAGAGCTTAAAAATAGACCCAAAGAAAAACCAGTTCTAGGAATAGATGAGAAGCATTCAGTAAAAAAAAAAAGAAAAAAAAAGGTGTCTCTAACCTCCTTGTGTCCAGCCCAGGCCTTCAGACTGACTTTGTAATGTCCTGGAATTGCAAACTTGTGAGCTGCAGTGGTGACACCCTTTTCCGTGGGGCTGAGACGAGGCGAGAGATCGCCAAAGTCCCAGGAAAGGGTGACGGGCGTGACGGAGGAGGCGGCGGAGAAAACGACGAGGTCGTGCACGCTCTGCAGTGGGAGAGCCCCGAGCGAGACGGAGAACTCCACCGCAAACACATCGCGGGCCAGAGTCCACCGACATTCCTGTCAATTGAAGGAAAGTATGTGAGGAACCGGAGGTCTTGGTGTCAATGCAGACGAGTGTTTCTGAAGCAAAACAAGCTTCATTTGTAAAAGAAAAACAAACAGGGTAAAAGTAAGAAGAGACATGAAGAGCGAGAGTAACGTCTGAAATCATATAAAGAGAAAGAAGCATTAAAATGCAAACTTTACTGCAAATTAAAGGCTGAGAAGTAATCTAAATGACTGAATAATGATTAATGTTCACGTGAAAGCTGACAGAAACTGTGATGTTTTTCGTCCTGGTTTTAAAAAGTCAACAGTTCCTGCAAGTCTCAGGTTTTCAGGGAGTTTGTGTCCGAGCTGAAGAGCGAAGGAGCTAATCGCTGCCGTCGTCATTTAGTTCTGGTCTTGGTCTTCAAACTTGCTTTAAAGTTTGAGCAACTTTAAAGCAAGTTAGTCCTGATTTGACCGAAACCCCCTTTATTAACATTGCATGTTTGGGACCAAAAATAATGCTTTCTGTCTTTCTTCATTAACCGGGGAACATTCTGTCCCATCCACCCACAAAATATTATGGACGCGCCGAGTTGAAGCGCTCCATCATCTGAGCGAGAGAAAGCGTATCTAGTTAAGTCCAAAATTATTTACACCTCTGGCAGATTTAGGCTTCAAACATTTCTCACTCAACAGAGAAGTTTGTATTTGATTAAAAAAAAGGGATGGGATATCTCAAAATGAATAAAACAATGTAAAAAAATATATATCTTTTGAGATAAGATGACATCTGGCTTGATTTAAAAAAAAAAATATATATATATATATATTACAACAAGATTGAATGATTCTGGTCTTAGCTGTGAATGAAAGTGAGCCAAAAGTGCAGCCTTGAGGATCTCCCCGTAATCTTTGTTCAACTCAGGTTTTAACAGCTGGCAAGTGACACGAAGCAGAAATAAAGCAACATGCGGCGTACCGTCATCACGTGGCGGTTGGTGCAGGCGGCCGAGCAGTGGGATCCGCTGATGAAGTTGGGCTCGTTGTTCGTGCTGCACAGACACTCGTGCCTTTCCCCCAGGCCTCCGTAGAGGTGCGACAAACCGAAGCACACGCTGTTACACTGCTCGCGCGTGTAGTTCCCGGGCTTGGAGTAAGTGAAGATCACCAGCTCACTTCGGCCTCCTCCTCGGCTGCTGCTGTCCTCCAGACACGCGGCGTAGCTGAGGCCTGAACCGCAGAAGGAGGATTTAAGGTTTCATTATAAGATCTCTCATTTCAACCAGCAGAAAAAGGGTCAAACGGTGACGTGTTTATGTCTCTAATGTCTATCATGAGTCCAGTGTAATAATGTAACATTAATCTGAGTTTTAAAAGGAGGCATGAAATGATTAGAAAATATCAAACAGCTCTGTGATGAGGAGATCTGATTATTATTATTATTTATTTTTTTTTTTTTGCTGCCTTTGTTTTTGGGATTCAGAGTCACAGGTCTCTGTGGACAGGATAAGGTCAGCTGGATTAACCTGCGAAACAAAGATTAAGAATATGGATGCAAGTGCATGTCTGGTGGGAGAGCTGCAAGATCTCCAAATATGGATTGTTTTCTCCTTCTTGATCTTTGTTTCTGCTTTCTGCAGATTGATATCAGCTATGCATTTTTTATTGTTGCTCCAAGAACGGCCCTTCTGTGTTTTTTTGTTGCCTGCATATAAAAGGTTTTGTAAGATTTTGGGTAAACATTTGGATTTTTTTTTTTATTACCACAGGTTTGCAGGCTAATGTTGAGCAAAGGCTGTCGGTGGAGCGCAGGCGGGTCTTTGCACAGCATAGCATGAAGGCGTCGGACTTGGACTCTTTTCTCCTTGAGGCACTTCACCAACCGGAACAGCTCACAGTCACATTCAAAGGGATTATTGCTTAGATCGCTGTGGAAACAAACACACGGGACTAAAGTTATCAAAAGGTAATTTTCTTAAAAACCCAATAATCCAGAGTAAACAGCTTATATTGTCATTTCAGGTTGGAAGCTCGTTCTGTTTGTTCAATCCATCAAAACATAATGAAAGTTTGACTTCTTCAACTTTTGACTAACATGCCAATTGTTTAGCATCTCACCAAAAAGCTAAAATGTAATGCTTTAAATCAAAGCTAAGTCAAGTGGTAAACTGGTCCAGTTAAAGTTCAAACCTTAAAACAAAGGAGACTCAATGGCAGAAATGAAAAATGCACATTTTTTCTATTTAATTTCATTGAGCTTAAAGGGCAAGAAATGCAATCTGTTGAAGAACAAAGCAGCTCCTTAAATAAACGACTGATGGCAACAAAAGCTGCTTTCAGAAGGTTTCATCTCATGTAATTAAATACAAATTCTTATTTACGCGTAACTCTGTGCTTGTCTGTGCACATAAAATCCCAAATCTGGGCCGTCGAAGGGCTGTGAATACTTTTTCTAGGCTCTGAACAAACTATCCAGATTTAAACGCTGCGATTCTTGCATGTTTATCCCATTTGATTAAACCACATTTTGAAGTTGTTTACAGAAAACATCATGTCTTTTCTCATCCAGTAAATTTTCCTGGAGGTAATAAGCGTGTGGAGAAATCACCGAGCAAAACTGCATGCAGCGTCGCTCCGACGACGCTGGCACAATGGCTACGTTCAGCTGAATTTATGGTAATTAATAAATATTCCTGTGGCAGCGGAGAGTGGTTTTGGCTTACAGTGGCAGCCAGCTGCGAGGCATTTTTAATCAGTTTCCTCGCTCTGCCGCCTGCTACGAAACAGGCATGTTGTAGACGTACAGAAAAGTACGCGAAAGTCCAGAAAACAACCAACGAATCATTCAAAAACACGAACCGCATTCAACAAATTGGAATATTTTTTAAAGTTTATTTATTTAATTTGCTAAGTGAAGAGCATTGTAAAGCTTAGCGACACACAGGCTGAGATTTTGAAGCTTTTATTTCGGTTTATTGTGATAATTTTCTGACTACAGCTGATTATATTAACAATATAATCAGATGATCACCATCCACCAGGAAAAAAAAAATTAAAACTGTTGGGAATTATTTTGATCTTGGTTGTAACATAAAATTGTACAAAAGAAAATCGGGAAAAGTTTCACTTCTTTAACTAAACCAGCAACACAGAGCAAATAGAAAAAGGGTACAAATAGAAATATCTTATAAGAAAAATACATAGCAGTGACAGATATAGCATAGTAAAGATTAGAGTACAAAAAGCTGCTGAATTGGGTTAGCGATGCACCATTTTTGATAACTTCATACTTTCAGTGATCCCTGTGGAGAGTCAGAGAGCCACAGAGAGAGTCGCAGCGAATAATGAACACTTACATTTGTGTTAGGTTACATAAGTTGTCACATATCCTTCCGTCGATGGTGGTAATTTGATTGTTGCTCAAATCTCTGGGGGCAGAAACAAAGAAATCACTTTTGACATTAGGAGAAAAAGTCTTGTCTCTTCCTCTGTAATTGCACGATTTAATTACTGTCACACTGTCACTTTGACATGATCATGATCATGTGGGTTTGTCAGGGAATCAAAACTCTAACCGAAGGAGAAAGCCCTTTGATCAGAGAGCATCTGGGACATTTGTTTGCTTTTGCTGCTTTATCTAGTTGTGTGCTAAAGGAGAGGAGCTTCAGACGACAAGATCACGTCTCTCTCAGACGACGACGTCACGAGACGGCTGCTGGCGTTCTCGACAGAAAACGCAACGCAGCCCAGTTCTGTTCCTCTGTGGTTTATTCTGCCAAATATCTTCCCTTCTCATTTAGCTAATGGTTATTTTAGAAATCAATTAATCAGATAAAAGTTGCAGATTTCTGCAGATTTTTCACTTAGACACTTTTTTTTAAATATAATATTAGAAATGCACTAAAATATGCAAATAAATAAACAATTCAGTTCCTTTTTTAAATGAATAAATAATCATTTTAGGGGACAAAATGTTTGCTGATGCTAAAAGTAAAAACCTATAACATCAACATGAGAGTTGTTAATGCCAAGTTTGCCCGACGTAGCATTAATAAAGCGTAGGGCTTATGTGTTCATTATTTTTTTTATTAACCAATTATTAATTAGTCAATAAAAAATGTAATAAATTAATTTAATGATTAATTAATAAGCGATTTTGCACATATGTTATAGGTAGAAAGGATGTACAGATAAAAGTTTCTACTAACTTAAATGCAAACTGTTTAAATCATTTGTACAGTTTTGGCTTAGTTGCTGCTCTGACTGTGTTGTGGCCTTATTTGAGTCTGTCTAATGCAGTTAACCGATTACTAACTCAGTTATTTCAATAACTGATAACTCACGATTAATCGTTTCAGCTCTACTCTTCATCTACATATCCTGCTGTCTGTCTCCTTTCCCCTCTTCCTCTCTCCACTCACTCCCTCCTCACTCCTGAGAGCTGAATAATGGGCCCGTTGTGTGGTGGTTTGGACAGAACTGATGGAAACCATCAGAGCTCGCCCTCATCACACACACACACACACACGCACACACACACACACACACACACACACAAACATGTGCTTAAATGCCCGTTCAACGAGTGGAAAAAGAAAAGTAATGTAAGAAAAAGATGGAAAGATGAAAAGAGGGAGGTAGTAGGAGCCCTGGGCAGCGAGCTGTAATTGAACTTAATCGTAGCGTGGTTCGCATGTGTGCGAATCACTATGTGGGGCTTTTGTTTCCCCAAGCGCCGCAGTCCAGCTAACGTACTCCTGGGATTTCAGCCTACTTACATTCAGACTAAACCGAGATTTTTCCTCCTCTGCACTCTTTTCATCTTCCTCGTTCACTTCTCCTCTCAACTCGGAGACGGGCGGCTCCAACTCCCCTTCCTCCTCTTTTAAGTTCATGCTCACAGAACCGACGGCGGCCGACAACGGGGGAGACCCTCATGATGACTGATTAAATGTTCAGCACTTGAGCCATTCCTCTTTTTGCTCCCAGGGACCCAGACTTCCTTAAAGTCACTTAAAATGATCCTGATCAACATATATTCTCGTCAACATTTTCCTTTGGACCTTCACTGCTGTAAAACAGGCTGATCATCTTCTCTAGTGTTTCCAGCCTGAGGTTTTGTCTTTTATCTCCCGCTTGTTCACTTTTTAGGGCACACAGTTCAAAAATATGCAAACATAGAAATAGACGGAAAAATCCAAAAGGAAGCTGTACGAAAATCGAACAAAAACCACTACAAAACTTTGTTACAATACTAGTATACCAATGTTTTCCTTCCTGGAGATGATGTTTATTAAATGATTTAATTGTGTCTAAGTTATATTCATATTTAATGTAATTAAAAGGATGTGAAATAATTAGCAGGAGTAGAAAGCAAAGGAATTCATGAACCTTTGCCACATCTCTTATATTAAAACCACAAACATAAATGTATTCTGTTCGAATTTTATGTCATAGATTTAACTCAAAACAACACAGAATTAAGTGGAACGAAAATGATATACGATTTTCAAGCTTTTTTAGAAATAACGTCAATGTCCCACTCATCAAAGTAAAATAGTGCATTGACACTCTTCTTGCGTAAAGATTTTTTCATTTAGTTCACTGAATTGTTTCTCCACATTAAGTAAATGCGCTCAGACTAATGGTCGGATTAAAAATCTTGCGCCCTTTCTGTCACATGTCTTACTTTTTATACATTATTCTTTACTTAAATGAAAAAATAAAAGATAATCTTAAAAAAATGGCAACATTTTCAAAAGTTACTGACAGTTTGCAGCAAAGCTCCACCTTCTTTTGCAGGAGACAAATATCTTAACTTTCCTCATAAGTGTGACGTGTGAAAATTCTCTCTTTTCCAAGTTATACCACCTGTGCAGGAATATTAAGGAATTAAGAGTTTCACCACAAAGACAAACGGGATTAAATAAGCGGAGATGAATGAGTCGAGGAGACGATGACGCAGCGCGGTGTTTACTTACAGCTCTCGGAGGCCCGTGAGCCGATCCAGCAGGCTGGTATCGAGGGAGGAGATGTGGTTCTTGGACAGATCTCTGTGGGAAAAGAAAGGAACCCAATACGTCCACATTTAAAATAACCACGTGCACACATAACAACTCAAAAACACATCATCATCATCAGTAGCCAGAAGTGAATTATGCAGGGTAATTATCTGGGATTAGGAGAACCACACGCTCAACCAGCGGAGCAACGAAAGACCGAAAGACTTAATTAATAAAAGTCGAGATGGAGACGAGAGCAACCATCAGATGGGAGGAGGATCCGGAGAGTCACCTCGTCTTTGAGGCCACTAATAACGCAAGTTTTATTCACTGTAATATGACAATTAAAAAACAAAACAAAACAACAACGACTAATCGCTTTCACCAAAAGCTACTAAGAGGTAGTTTCTGAACTCGTAGCCAGAACAGAAACAGGAAACACGGAGGACGTTGACTAACGAGGAAATAACACTGCAAAGGTCAACTCCTCACACGCACCTGCCTTAACGCAGCGTTTGTCAGGACGACAGCTAATTATACACATCTGCTTCATCATCCAGCTCCTCTGGCTCTGCTCCTGAAGCAGCAGTGATCCCTCACTCACACGCTTTCTCGCGGTTTTCATTGCTTATCAGTGACAGGAAGAGGAGAGCAGAGCCAGAGCGAGTGCTGAGGGTTCGGTTTGGTACTGAGCAAACAGAGCAGATCGGCAACCCGCTGTCTCGCTGTAAGGATGTTCTTTTCATTATTCATGCTAAAATACTGAACGTTCGCTGCCTGATGAGAGAGAAACGAAGTTAATGACGCAGCTTGGAGTGAAAAAGTGTTGAGATGCTCAAATCTGCAGTATTTTCAATATCTGGATCTGTAATATTTAATATGAAAGAAGGAGAGAAAGGAAGAAAAATACTTTTAATTAAATGAGAGAAAAGCTGATTGAAATCTGCAGTTTCGATATGTTTATTTTTTCTTCTCAGAATTTGAGATGTCATGGTTGAAGTTGGTAAAAATGATTCTCACAATCCAATATGGCCACCTCACATACCAACTTAGTGATTGCAAAAGAGTGAGAGAAAAAAAACAAAACAACATCTTTATTTACACTTCTAAAAATCTTCACCCCATTTAAGATTTTGTGGCCTAATGATTTTAAAGCCTTCTTTCAGACGTGTTCCTGCGGCGTTTGCTCTGTTATCGGCACGATTTGCTGTCTTGGTTGAGAAAATCCCACTTGTTTCCAAACCTGGAACTGGGACACAGTTAGGTTTGGGTTTGATCCCATTCCGGGGTCAAAGTTCAGACGTAAGCAGAATGAAATGTTTTTGTTTTTACCTCTCAAATAGCTCAAAACAAAATCTCTTTTCAGATTAATGTGGAGTTTATCCCAACATCTTGTGGTAGTTATTGAAATAACACTTAAACACATAAAGTATTTAATCATTTTTTCAAATTTATTGATATTCATTAACACTCTCATGGAACAGACATAAAAAAAAAAAAAAACATGTTCAAGCCACAATGTCAGTGTTTCAGGGTTTGCAGCCTTCATCATAAATTTACACTCAGGCCACAGTTCGAGCAATCCCAGATCTAAATGAATCTTTACAGAATGCCAGCCTTGCAGGAGATTGTTCGTTTTGAGTGTGGTTTCGAATGTAATAGAAGCCTGTACCCATTCATGAGCTGTGCTGCATGGAGCTGCATCTGCAGGAAGCTGGGTAAGGCATGCTAAGCTTGTCAATTCTTTTCCTGAAAAAACAAACAAACAAACAAACAAAAAAAAAACAATGCTTAAAAAAAAACTTCAAAGAAGTATATTTCTCCAAAGATGTTTACGATTCATAATTTTCACATACCCAGAATGCATTTTGTATACAGATGCACACACATCCGCAAAAATGGAAATAAAACAGTCTGCACATAATATTTCAGATATGTGTAAAGCTAAGTGACTTTGGTTTCCACTTTCGGGCTTCCCAGCAAAGTTTCAGCTGCACGTGAGAATAAAAATGCAAAAAAAAATAAAAATGATATATATATATATATATATATATATATATATATATAGGAACAAGAAGTATAGAAGTATAAGGCTGCAGGCAGACAAAAATCAGTCTGCTAATATGCAGCAGTGAGATAAATAACTGCAGTTAAGTGTCGCTCAGCAGGTTCTGAATTCACAGAAAACACAACCAGAACCAGAGAAAAGGAAGGTTGGAGTGCATGGGACGGCACGCCTCTCTTTCTCCTCTCACACTCTTACTTTTCGTGTGTGTGTGTGTGAACAGAGTAGGACGCCAGTTCCCAAAAGGAAACATCTGTACATTCCAGACCAGCTGTGTAAGAAAAGATGGAGACCGAGAGAGAGAGAGAGATAGAGAGATAGAGTTCTGCTAAACCCATCAGAGGACGAGAAAAGGGAAGCAACGGGAACGAAGCCCCGCCCACATCCCCGATCACTCAAGCATCACGCCGACAAAACCGGCCTCAAGTCACGGCTCTCCGCCCGGTGTGTGTGTGTGTGTGTGTTTCTCACACCTAGAGTCAACTCAATAGAGACAACCAGAGATAGAACAGAGAGAGAGAGAGAGAGAGAGAGAGAGACTATACGTATGTATCCTTAACATGACCATATAATCTGACCTTCGGCACGTCCATTAGCAACAGACTCCCGTTCTCTCTGCTACCCCCGGACACACATGGTTTCATTTACACACACACATACAGCGCCGAACACATATGGTTCTGTTTTGCTAACAGTGTGGCCAATGATCTAACAACTCCTTATAAGGCCTGTCTGGTGCCACTTATTCTGAGCTGGGAGATGAAAACACACACAGAAAATCCTCGCTGGCTCTGCTGTGTTTGGTCAGATGGGACGAGAGGAGGAGCTGGAAGGGACACTGAGGGACATATGGATGGAGAAACAAAGATGACCTATAGCTGAAGAAACAATTAAGACAAAAAGCAATTACACTGATATTCGTTTGTTCTTCAAAAAAAAAAAAAAAAAAAAACAACGATGTGTAGATGGCAGACTGACATCTGTTGCATCTTGGCAGCAAAGTAGTCCAAGTCCCTGTAAGTGAAGGCCAACGCTCCACTAACCCACTAAACACAGGCTCTTCTGTGGTTGCTTTCATCCCCTCGGCCTCTTTTCCTGATTACTGTGCTGCTCCCTCCCTCACTTCTCTGCTCGTTCTGCTTCCCCCCAAAACTGCTAAGAGTTGGAAAGTCTGCGCCAGTAAGTCGGCAGGTTAGCCGGCCCGGTCGAACGTAACGGAAGAGACAAAGTCAGGTGTGAAAGAAAAGGCAGAGCGGAGAGAGCAACCACTGCTCTGTGGCTGTCTGACGGTAGCTCAGTTTGCCCCGTAAACGCTGAGACACAGTCTGAACCATAACCGGGGCTGCTGCTGGAACCGTCAGATCAAAATGTAAAAAAAAAAAAAGTTCCCAGATTCAAATATGAAAACCTAAAATCTTGGTTTCTCTGGAGTTATCAGATTTAAAACATGGAACCCAGAAGCACCACTGAGAGCTCTACGTATGGATGAATGAATAAATTGACTTTAGACAATGGGACAGGGACTAAAGCATGTAGTTTCTATGTTTTTGCAGACATAAAACACATTTAAATCAAATTCCACATGTTCCCAGATTTTTCTAGGAAGCGTGGAGGTGAGGAGACAGCCGAGGCATCACGAGCCTCCATTGACTGATTTCCCTTCTGCAAACATGGAAAGTCTGGGATACAGATATTGGAAAAGGAGACATGCGATTAAAGAGGCTTGCTGGTCTAAAAGTCTATCATCTTGCCTCACAGTTTGGCTCCTCTCCTCTCATCTTGCTCCTCTATTTAGAACATTTTGTCCAGTTTTCCAGCCGCTGCTGCGTGGGTTGTCCGATGTCCAGCTGGCAAGTGAAGGGCAGCTGTGCACAACGGTCCAACACACTCAGCCTAAAAAGCGACGCACGCACACATGCACAGAGGACCGAACATGCAAATGATAACATCTGCAAGTAGAGGAAAAGAATCGGCCTGTTTGTCGTCTTTGAGACTGCGCCGGTTAAAAACGTCTTTATTTAGATACTGCAGACTTAGAAGAGAGAAAATGCATGTCAGGACTGCAGTGGTGGATAATTTGAGTGAAAAATATCTATGCCATTTGTCTGAAAAACAAAATTACCCCTAGCAGTACCAGTAACTATAAAGACGGTGATTATCCGAGCAAACCTGGAAGCAAACATAAACAAATGTTTTGAGTAAACTATAGAACAGTTGGAGCTGCAGCCTCCACCACTTGTCTGTTTGGATTTCCGACATGCAATGGATTTCACAACGCATGCCAAAGTTCTGCCAAATTTATGCGGTGCAGTGAAAAGAGAGCGACTAAACTATCGTCTGCAGTAATTTCTGCATCAACAAATTATAACCGCCAACTTTAATCCCACTGAAAGAGAATCTCTAAGTAGTATGAAATCACCGAAGCGGAGAAGAGAAAACGCCTCCATCCAACAATAAAAAAAAAAGAAAAAGAAAACATTCATTAATATATCAGTCTCCCAAAATAGTAAATTGCACTTTCCCCCCCCCCCAACTTTATGTGAGAAATAAATGGTTTCAAAATTTGGATCCGGTTGTTTTGCATTGCTCCAATAGTCGGTTGCATCCGACAATGTGAGCTAAACATCATGGATGCATAATCCTCATGCATAAAAGTTAGACACGTCTGACTTTTCACGCTCTGATGGGACCTTTTCCTGACACACAGGGTTTCGCTCCAGGGTCACTGGACTTGTGAGAGTAAGTACCAGAAATCCAGTCAACGAAGTTCTTATTAGGAGAAAATGTATTTATTCATTTATTCCAAACATGACAGAAGTATAAAGTCACACATGATCAAGGAATGCAAAAGACACATATTTGTACCACAGTAATCTTATGCTCAGAAAGGAGTAGGAAGAAGTAAGAAACTTATGAACTCCTACCCCCCCCCCAAAAAACTCATAGAATACTTTCAGACGGACCCTCATTTTTAAAAAGTTTCATATTTTATTCTTTATATATTCTTGGTCAGAGGCAGTCACAGGGACATAGCCAGCGGTCAGACACCAAATCGGATTCAATGCGTCTTGGCCTTTAAGGACATCTTAATAAGGAGATCTTGTCTCAGAAGATTGTGTGATACTAAAACACCACAACAGACCAGTCAAGTCAAACCAGCTGCCATCTGTGTCTGACTTTGACTGATGGAGTTATAGTGCAATCTATTTTCATGAGCCCTTCCACTCATTTGTATTAAATGTTTGATATTCTGATGTAGAAGAAAAACAAAAAATAGTTCTTGAATGGTAACAGAGTGGTGAATAAGGACTTCCTGTTGAGATGGTTGACAACCCTTAAGAAAACCGAATAAGCCTCCACCACTTTTAAATGAATAGTGTAGCTGTATTTTGAGTACATGCGCACAAAACAACGTAATTTGTAAGCACCGTGGCAGTATTGTGACAGGCTAACCGCTAGCTGCTAATGATGCTGATGTAACCCAGGCTTTCCCTCTTTAAACCTGCAGCTGGCGGAAGACACCCTATGGACTCTGCGCTGTGTTTTTGTGTGAAGGTGGGATGTGTTCCGTGCAGAAGAGGCATCACACACAGGGCTCAAGTTGTGGGGAAACCTTTGCGCCTTTATTTCCTTCACCTTACAGGAAGTAAAGCACACTGTCACCATTCAACCAGTTTTTACAAAATAATCAATCATCACCAAAACAAATACAATTTAATTTGTACTTAACTGGCAAACTGAACAAACAGAAATAGCTCGGTAAATCAATTTACTTATGTTAACGTATATTTTACACCGGGCTAGCAGAGCTGCTGCTAACCTTACAGGCAGTACAGCACACTGTTAGGAAAATAGCAGTTCGCGCACAAAATACCCCCTGCACTACGGTGTCCCCGCCAGGACAAACATGTCAGAATTGCGGTAGTGGCAACAATTACATGAAACAACAGCACCCTCTTTTGGTATATTTATGGATTGCGTTAGACTAACGTTAGCTTATTTGGTGCTACAAAGAATTAGACTAGAATAAAAACTACAATATATGAACCAGTCGAACATTAACTAGAATATTCAACCCAATTCTTCAAAACAGTTTGTAATTTTCAAAATCGTTTCATTATTTGTGAAAACAAAACTAAAGAATTGTTAGTTTTACTAAAAGATATTGCCAAAATCTCATATTCACGAGCTGGATTGTTTTGTTACGGCAGCAAAAATATTGCTTAAACTGCTGCAAATGAGTGTTAAAAACTTTTAAATGTTTTAAAGTACACTTCCTGTGTAACGTTTCTTCTGCCATTCCTGTGCAGAGGGAGTGCTAAGCACAAAAAACCTTGAAAATGTTCCATTATCCATTCATCCATTACGTAACACACTTATCCTTGCAGGATCGAGAGGTTTGGTGCCTACATTGCTCCATTACTGTTTCCAAAATTGAACAAAGGTCTCATTAATTTTAATCTGTTTTTTTTTTTAAACGTCTTTGTTCTGTGTAAAATTACGATTTTGCGCCTTAGTTAAGCGCTCAAAATAAGCTGCAGAGCAACTGCTAACTTCAGGGTTGTTAGTGGCTAACGGTTAGCCAGTTGAGCTATGTTTACAAATTGTTGTATCTCTGCTCTTCTCTTTGTTTTTCTATGGAAGCTCAAAATGCTGTTGTCCGGTTCCATAAAGTCTTCTTTTTTTTTGGTCCTAAGAGATGAGTCAACTTTCTCATACTGTTCCCAGCGTTTCCATTTATTTGCCATGCAGCCATGCCACACATGAGGAGAACAGAGCACAGAAGCAATTTAAAGACTCAACTCTTTGAATAAACTGCTGCGACAAACAGCAGAAAGCCTGTTATTAAGTAAGCCTCCAGAGCAGACAACGAGTGTGTCAGCGACCTTGACAGCAGATGTGACTGCTGAAACAATCTTTGGTGAGGATGATAAAAGTCTCGGCTCGACGCTTCTATTTCATATCTGTTCACTTTGCTCTCTAGTTCTCCCTGCTTCTTTGATCCGTTTCAGGTTCACTGGCCTGAAACCGAACTAAACTGGACCTGCAGTGACTTTTCCTCCCTGCAGATAAACAGCGGATCCAGACTGTGGTTTAAAATGAGAAGCCTCTGCAACATTTCTTTACTTTTATGGTTTTAGCTCTTTTTTTTTTTCTACTCTTTTGGTCCTAACAATCTTGTACGAGGAAATGACTATGTAGGGAAATCTCCTCATTGGTGGATAAGACACATTCCTGAAATTAAAGCGAAAATGAAAAACATGTTCCGTTTTTTCTTTTCTTTCTTTTTTTTTTTTAATGTGAATGTAAATTATGACAGAAGAAACATAGCCAGTTTGCATTTCATTAAAATATTTGACTCGCCTGTTATTCTGAGCTTGACACATTCTCCGTTTCCACCCTGAAAACCTCTTATTACCATTTGGTGCAAGCTGTTCCGGGTGTTATTCTAGGATGTCTTCAAGTGTTTGAATCGCCTCCCTTCTGCAGTGTGTCCAGAGACAAGATCCAACTCAAGCACAAACACACACCTACAAGGTCACGCGATGATGACTCCTGCCGTACGGATACCGTCACTCTTTAGGAAACGGCAGCGACGAACATCTGTGGATGACCTCCTCGAGTTAAATTAATGCAAATGTGTATTTATTTACGTAGCATGTGAGATACTGCTAACTGAAACTTTCCACATTTTAATCGAATGTAGAGGTCAGATGTTTGCTTAAAATTACAGATTTCATTCATATTCAGGCCAATCTGTCATGAGTATGAGTTTGTCAAAAGTTTACCTCATTATGAAGTCTTTAGTTCCCATGCATGATTTAACAGGAGGTAGTTGAAAATATAACTTATACCTCGGCTGAAACGATTAATCAAAAATAATTTGATAAATCAATCGTTGACATAATCTGCGACTAATTTAGGAGTGGATTAATCGTTAACGGGAGTGTACAGACTCAGAAAAGGCTGTTGGTTGAGAGAACAACATCGGAGCTGTAATTAAACTAAAACTATACAAAGAATCTATATATTTTACATTTTAAGACATAAAAAAAACAAAAAAAAACCTCTGTTATGTTTTTTCTACACCAAACTCTTCAAGAAGAATAGTTTAAGCTTAGCCCGTTTCTCATTCTGTAAAAATAAACTCAGAGGAAACATCCTTTGCTATCGAAAAAAATAATCAACTAATCAGCACTATGCTACCGATGTTAAGTAAAATCTTGACGTTCGGTTGTCTTTTACAACAAATGATCAAATGTTCACCGAGTTCTATCTTATTGGATTTTAGACATTAAAATGTTTATTTCTTTAATTAAAAAATAAGTATAATTATTTGTTAAGTGATTATAGGAAAAAAACTGCACAATGTGGCAATTTTCTTTTATACATTTAATTGATTAACCGTCAGAATAATTGACCGAATAATCAATTACTAAAATACTCGATAGTTGCACACTAAAGCATATTTTATAAAGAAAGAAGAAATACTTTGTTAGCAGGCAGGATGAGTGACGTGAGATGACAGAGAAATTTAAAGACCCAACTTAAACCAGGACAGAACAGAAAAGAGACGGAAACCCAAAGAGATAAAAACTTACAGTCAAACTCAGACTGCTTTTTATTAAAGTTAACGGAGTGGCTTTTATTGGGGGAAGAAGTTTTGTAAGGGAAACTCAAACAAGAAACATCAGTCTATCAACTGAAGTAAACAAAAAACATTTTCACCCTTAGCATTTCTTTGTTTTTGTCAGACTTTTAAAAGCTCTTTTTTTCCTTTTTGTCAGAGAGAGAGAAAAAAAACCCTCAAATTTCCCAATGACGTCAAACAAGCCGTCTTTGATTTGAAAAGTTCCTAACTGAGATAAATGAGCGTAGCGGCCGTAAAAGAATGCTTCAGATTGCAATGAAAGCATTGATTTCTCCTTCATGCTTTCTGTTGGAATGAAAAATGTCAAACTACCCTCTCTACAAAAATTCACTGGGACTTAACATTCAAAGTGATGCTAAGATGCTGTAATAAACAGGCTTTTAATGCCTCCTATCAGTTTCTTTCTCTCTCTTTGAGGTCTGACCCGCCTGCTCTTACTTTGGAGCTGTAGCAGATGCAAATGTGTTTGTGGAAACTTTGTTTTAAGTAATGTAAAAAAAGAACCTTCACTGCACTGATATACTGTATTACAGAGCAGTTTGTTGTCTTTTTAATGTTCAACACATGCTCATTATATACATTCAAATGGTCATCCTACTCAGTTGGATCGTGAGTCCAATATTTCTGTTAACGGCACTGCAGTTATGCTGTTTAATATCATTATTACTGTTAATCTTTTTTTTTATATGCATTTTTAATCCTCTCTGATCTTTGTGTGAACTCAGACACTTGAATTTCCCCACAGTGGGACAACAAAGGTCAAGGGGGGAAAAAAATCAAATAAAGGTAAATTAAAAGTCTATCATCGCATTGTATATTTTTATGCTTTTTATTATTAATTATTTTACTATTACTGGAGCCATGCAAGAAAATGAACATGTTTAGCCCACCAGATGCAGGTTCTGGATCCGTCCAGTAAAAACACAACCTCAGCGACCACAGACTAATGGACACAGACAGGGAAGAAGACGTTGAGCTCCATCTTAAGTCCGCCTCATTTCTTGCCTCATGTTCTCCTTTACAACCAGCTGAAATGTCTGAACGTCTGCGGGTGATGTCATGGGTTACGTTTGCCATGGAAACCAAACAAGTTCCCCCTTGCGTATTGTCAGAGCGCTAAAGCCTTCCCCACTCGATCTCCGTCCGCAGAGTGCGTGCAGATGGCTGTAAGGTCAGTGGCCACCTCTGGAGGAGGAGGCAGCGAGGTCGGACACGCAGTGAAAAACGAAAGTGGAGAAATGTATTTATCTATTTTTTTTACATCCAGTCCCATGTGCTGCGCAGCTGTATCGTGACCTGCTGCAATCTCACATTGAACCAAGTAAACCAGCTCCAGCTAAACGGCTGCAGCGCATCTCTGTGTATGTGCATCCTGCTGCCATGGAAACACCACAAACTTCATCAGAGTCAAGCAGACAAGTCCTTGATATGCTAAGCAGACAGCAGGTTGCAATAAACAACACTGCTGTACAATGAAAAGCAAAAAACCCTCCACCATTATTCATTTTTCTTTATTCATCTATATTTAGTAATATTTAAATCACTTGCACACCTATCTACATTATGGCTACAATCATATTTACTCATATTTAACACTATGGATGGAGTAGCTTGTCAACTAATAAGCAATTTTCCTTTGGAGATCAATAAAGTTTATTCTAGCCTATTTTTTAAAGGTCTTTTTTTTTCAAAGTCTTCTGCCTCGAGACAAAAGCGTATTGTCCGACTTTCCTTGAAGCAATCTGCATACAAAGGAGAGGCACTTAAAAAAAAAAATAAAAAAATAAAAAACACTGAAGAGGTTTCCTTTCACTAGCATTTCCCAGAAATGACTTCAGAGCTCCAAAATCCTCCAAAAAAGTGTTACGAGATTTTATTATGTGTGTGGGTTGGAGCAGATGGGCCGGTGTAACGCATGAGTGCTTTTTTTTTTTTTTCTCCTCCAACTTTCTTCTGCACAAAGTTACAGCACTCCGCTGCCACTGGATTATTATTTTTTTTCTCTTTAACGGAGGGCGTATCCTCTGTATTTACATTCTGGGCCAGATAGAGGCACAGCCACAGAGGCGGTTTTGAAACGCATTAATTCACAAATATATCGCTCTTGTAAAGGTGGACAAATGCCAATCTTTTGAAAGCAGCAACTGGGCACTTCAAAAACAGGGCCGCAGCTGATGTTGAGGAGGAAAAGATTAAAAAAAAAGAAAAAAAGAAAAAGCATCACTTGTGTGTTACATCTACACAGAAACAACACTACGTTTGTGATGGAAAGCAGAAATCTCAGTTGTTTCATTTTCTGTTTCCAGGTGTCTGCTTTGGCTCCGGGTTTCGTTTAGCAATCACATCACAGCCGACTTGTGCTCCAGTTGCATCCCAGAAGCCCGTCATAATCATTGTTTATTTCAGAGACCAGGCTGTCAAAATAACCTACAAAGAAAAAAATCCTATTATAACTCCACTGTGTGATGCTTGACGTGGGTTGAGGAGGAACCAAATGTCAACAGGGCAGAGGAAGACGCGTGATGGAGAGCTGATTCAGTGATGAAACTGAAAACCAAACAGAATCCAGCAGTGAAAGAAAGAAACCAAGGAGATTGAATGCTGTGGATGTGTGGCATGGCGAACCAGACGAGCTCAGGAGAAAACTAAACGGAGACGCAGAGGATCTAACTAAACCCCAGGACCAAAATCTACATGAAGAGACGAGGGTGAATGACAAATGACTGCACCGACACGGACAGGCCCTGGTGACAAGAAAACTGAAATGATCTAAATACAAAACACAAGTGGGAACAAAAGTGCAAAGAGCTGCGGATCATGACACACACCTATTTATGCATTTAAGCGCTGATGCAACACGTTTACCAGTACAAGTTGAACAGATCTCAGCTACAGAGGGGAGACACGCTGACAGATGCACAAAAAAAATGTAAAGAGCTGCAGAAATCCTCATCATGCAGAAGGAGGCCATGTTGTTTTGTTTGATGAGTTTTCAACTTTGGGTTTCTTCCAGTCGATTCTGCTGAAGCTCTGACTGAAACTTTAAATTGCACGCAACAAGATTTACAAGTAGCAATGCCGTAAATATTTAAAGCTTGAAATTACAAATCTGCTTCGCGTAAAAAAATAAAAATCACAGCGTTAGGGTTTCCGAGAAGACTTTTTCCCAAGAAGAAACTCTGACGCAAATCCTGTTGCTGTCCTCAGAGTTTAATTAAGCTCTCCCAATTTTAAGTTAAAGTAGCATAATTAAATCAATGACACGTTCCATTAAGTCCTGTAAGTCGTATCAAGTATAATGTACCTAATATAGGTTCATTTTAATATTTTGTACAAAATAATTAACCAGTAGGATAGAACATTTGAAAAGGAACAGATTAAAAAGTTTTCCCCTTACATCTTAATAGAAATAAACTAAGTAAGTTGCTGACATATTGGGGGGAAAAAAATCTGTTGTAAGTAAATGAAAGAGCTACATTGAAGCAATAAGGAGTCAAATGAAGGAGGAACGTCCCGACAGAGTTGAAAACTCAAATATGAATCAAGATCCAGAACCAAAATGAAAACTTGTAACCAGAACCAAGCAGGAAGCAAAGCGGCAGCAGAATCGCACTCGGAAAATAGAAAAACAACAAGAGTTGTGTGACTGCCGGACGAGTGACAGGTGAGCTGATTGTTGTCGACGGGAGGTGAAACTTGAGAGAACCAAGGGAATCTGAAGGCAGCAGAGAATAAACAAAACCTACTCAATACTGGAGAAGGTCAGTCAGAAAAGCATACAAAACATAACATTGAGAAGAAAACCCTAACATTACGTACGGCAAAACCGAGAATCCGGTAACTTTACCCAGCTTCTAAATCCTTTGAAAACCAGATGACTTCTCTTTCCCAGATTTTTCTACTTGATACTTAAAGGAAAGTTTTTCTTGATTTTACCAGACACAGTCCTTCCATCAACACTGTCATTTCAGCTCCAAATATACTCAAATCCACCAGACAATATCAAACGCCTATTGATTACACATGCGTCTTTGCAGCAAATCTTCTAATAGCGGAGAGAGTCTGTCGAGTTGTCTCTAAAGATTGCGTCACATTTCTAAGGACGGGGGATGTGTGTGTTAGGCTGCTCATCACTTGAAATCACTTATTGAGTTGGACAATAAATGAGCTGTAAGAAGCAACACATTGGTAACTTACCACTTTACGCAGAGACGTTTGAACAATACAGATCGACACTACTGTGGGAGTGTACTGGCACTCTAACAACATGCCTCTCAATGTGGCCGAGTTCAGGGAAGAATAGGAACGCAATCCAGAAACGGTGGAACTCTGGTCGACGTTCTGTCGGAGGTAGTTACAGTTCTGCGCTGGCCGGTGCAATAGTTTGCCATGACGTGCGTTTTTTTTTTTTTTTTTCTGTGTTTGGATTTTTCCTTTTGATAAAGTTCCTGGGTGGCTATTGGTGAACATCTTTTGTCTGCATTACGGTAAACGGTTGCAAGTTTACAAAAAAGAAAAAAATAGAAATAAAGCGTCACATTACAGATGGAAACTAATCAGCTAATCTGAGCTGTTCTCATTATGTTTGGGTCAGCACTTAGTTTCTAAAATGCAAACAAACTGAATTATCTGGGCTAATTTGAGTCCATCGGAACCACAACCGTGAAGTTCCCCTTTGCGGCAAAGAACAAACCGAGACTAGAACCGAACCGGACGAGAACCAGTTAGAGTGAGACTCGACAAAAGAGAAATGGCATTGAGACTTTCTCCTGTGAGGACAAACATGTTTTCCAGCGAGGGAGATTCTGCCCCCAGCATCACACTGCCCCCACCGAAACCCGTTGGAGAATCTGGTGTACGTGAAATGTTTTCGTTGGTGCAACAACCTGCATGTTAAACTCAGATCCTAATGCATTTTTCTTGCGATGTGGCACCATTTGAGATGCACTGATCCAAAAAAAAAAAAAAAGTCAACCAAACAAACACGTACTTTCTAATGCATGAAGTATATTCCCTAAAGAAACAGAACGAAGGGATGAGACAGAAAACAAACAGCAGGCTTTTAAACACATTGCAGGCACAGCAGATGAATAATTCTAAGCCTGAACGTCTATTCTTGCCTAATTCAGAGTAAGACTTTCAGTGTCTTCTTCCGGTAACATGAGCCAGACGCCTAATTAGTAAATGTCTATAGTGTTCGTAGTCAATCACCTACATGGAGCAAAGTGATAATTAACACCTCAGTAAAGCCTCGCATGTTACAGTCAGTTATTCTGACCCGACTGGGAATCTGTCTGTAATTAATGAAACACTTAACAAGTTGCTTGTCTTCTCTTATGCAACTGGAATCGATAGCATTCAAGAAAAATACACACATGTAAAATGAGCCAACATATACATTCTTTAGATGGAGCAGAGATTGATTTTCTGCACGCACACACAAAAAAAAAGGAAAAGAAAAAGATGATGTATGAACTACGCAGCTTTTTATGTGAAGTTTCCAGCATATCCAAGACCTTAAGAAAAAAATAACGCAGTGATTATATATGAGCCGGAGCAAGTTAAGATTTTAGGTTAAATAAAGATTATACGGAGTGAAAATAAATAATGGGTAACATATGGCTTCCAACAGCACAGAACATAATGTTCTCTCGCTGACCAGACCAGAAACTCAGGACTGATCCACACCGCAAGCAGCAGCTTTAAGGTTTAGGTGACCACTTACACACAAACACACACACACACACACACACACACACACACACACACACACACATGCACACACAATGTCATCAGCTATTTGACCTTTGAAACTCGTATCAGACATTACCCAAACTTTCTATATTTAATGCTCATTTGAATGACTTCATGTTTGTTATTCCTTTAAATCCCAGTTTCCTTTGCAGCTCAATATGTTCCACAGTGCAGACGACATGCAAGCCAAAAGGATGACATTCATCCAAACATAGCATCTGTCAGCCGTGACTATATCTAATTGTCTGATATGGTAATAATTATTTTAGCTGCTGAGGTGAAAAAAAAATGATGAAAATATAATAGAATCCTATGAAAAATGACTATTAATGCAAAGATGCTCCATAAATGAGTATATACACAACATCTGATATACAGCTTGACAGAATATATTAAGAATCACGAAGAGAAAAATAACGCATTAAAAAAAAAAAGCTAACACAATAATGTGGTGAATTAACTTGATGGTGATTTCAGTCAGAAGTAGCAAAATAGTATTTAATCTGCTGTAAAACATACAGAAAATAAGAAAAACAGAGATACTCAAAAGGTTTATTGTTATTAGACGTGAAGCTATTGTTTTTATTGTTGTTGTAAAGCAAATGATGTGAAGTGGAAAGACTTGGTTAAACTATTTGGATGTTCCAGAGCCGGTCCAAGATTTTATGGGGCCCTTAAGCGACTTTGATGTTGGGTTCCAGATTCCAGATTGCTTTATTTCTTAAATAAATTACAGTAAATAAACTTTTAGAAAAAAATGTATTTCTCTAACTTGCTGATCTGTTTTCCAGACAGCAGTATTTGAGGTAAGGTTGTTTTTTGTTTTTTTTTTTTGTTTTTTGTTTTTGTTTTTAATAGCAACTAAAACCTCTAAATGTTGCACAGTTTCAAGGTCAGACAAAAAACCAGACAAAAAGTTTTGTTTGGTTTGTTTATAATACTTGAAGATTTGATTTGATTCTCTACTATTTTAGGGGTTGTTCTTTTTTGTGTGTTGTTTTGTTGCATTAACTTCTTCAGTGGCTGTGTGGGAAATGTGTGGGTCCAAAATCTTGTTGTTCCTTAAAAAGAGGCTGCCGGTCAGCTGGCTGAAAGACTACACCTTCCTTTCACTTCCAAGAAACACATGTTCAGCTCAGAGAGTCATGGTGTGAATCAAGTCACTCCTAAAAAGTGACTTATTATGAGTCACTTAATGACTCATAATGAGGTAATGCTATTTGAAGACTTGTTTGTTTGCTTATAGTTAAAATAGAGTGCAAAAAAATGCTAGATTATGCAACGTCCTTTTGCTTTTAAATTTTGTGTAAACACTGTGATAGTGTTGTGATTTTTAACTCAAGGTTAAATTTATTCCATTAGTGTCGTTTTGACCATAGAAGAAGAGCATAATCCAGCAGAAGCAGCAAGGAGGAAACACTTGAATATTTTTTATTATGAGGTTTTTAGTTACATAGTCGATTAAATAAATAAATGAATGACCCTTATCAAATGATAAATATTTCTCCTCTGTATTATTATAGCTATTGTATTTCTGGTCTATAGGTCAAATTTTTTTTTTTTGGGAATTATAAATAATTTCTTTAACTTCAAATTTGAGATATTGTGTGAGCGGTGAAACACTTTTAGGGAGGAGGACGCAAGCCTCGGAGCTCAATGCAGCAACCTTTTCGCTAATTCCTCGGGCCGGCTCTGAAATAACCGATATTTATGTACTGCGTAACTTTTTTTGTTGTTGCTTTTTTTTTTTTTCATCCTGTGAAATACTCACAGCGTGTTGACGGTCGGCGGAAACTCAGCAGCCGCTGGGGCTCTTTCCAGTCCGAGGCTGGAGCAATTAACGACGCAGAGCCGCTGGGGCCCCGCTGGCGCACAGCTGCAGTTAACGGGACAGGGGCTGCAGCCGCCGCCGCCGTGCGGCCCGGAGCCCCACACCTCCAGGCAGCACAGCGCCACAAGCAGACCGGGAAAGAAGCTAAGCCTCGGGACGCAGACGCCATGTTCTCGCTTGGATAAAGTCTGTCCATTTCCACAAGGCATAGCTCACTCACATCTCATCGCCTCTGATGGTGCTAAGTCCCGTCAGGCTGGGAAGAAACAAACAAAACGGAAAAAAAAAGGAAGAAAAAGAAGAGGAAGAAAAAAAACACGCGTTTCCACTTTTCACGGCTTTCAAGTAAAGAGAGAAAAATAAAAAAAAGAGGGATACACTTCTGACTTCGTAGTCCGCTTTTGTCTTCACACACAGAGTTATACGTTTTTTCCTGATCAAACCCCCCTCCTCTGGAAATCTAACGGAACGTCTCCAGAGACTTTTCAGGGAGGAAAAAAAAAAAAAAAAAAAGTTTGGGAGAACTTCCTCTCTCCTCCTCTTTCCACTCCGTGCAGTTCCCACAGCCACCGCTGAGATCCTGGGAGAATGACAGAGGAGGAATCTTATTACTGCGCGTCCTTCCGACATGATGATTTATTTTAGTCACCATTTGAGTTAAGGTGCGGGCAGATTCTTAGCTTGACGTTGCTGTTGATTTTTCTGGGGAAACCTTTCAAATGAATAATATTGAACATTTCATTTATTTCAGTAATTCAACTCACTAAGTGAGTACTGAGGATTCTTTCTCTTAACAGCTAATGAAAACATAACATTTGAAATTAAAATATTGGATCAGACTAATAATAAAAAAAAAAAACATTTTAGTGCAGAAAAGTATGTTGATGCAGTTAGAAACTGCATTTAACATACAAACTCACATACAAGCTCAAATACTATTACATAAAAACAGACTACATGTTATGTTTTGGCTAATAATGTGATTATTTTCTTTTTGCTAAATGCAAAAATAATAGGGTCATAAGTCATTTTTGTACTTATTGACCTGTAAAAGCTGATCTCTTATAGAGCAGTCGCTCTTTAAATATGTCAAAAGTCTTCATTAAGTAAACAGAGTATGATCAAAGTGTTCCAGGACTGGGGCCAAATGTCCTCTTTTTTAAAAAAATAAAAGACATGGTCACCCTTCACAGCGCAGTTTTCTATTTATTTTATTTTGTCACAACAGTGCTTCAAAATGTCAATAGAGGTTCTCTTGATCCTGATCTTCTGCAGGCTGTGCTTGAGACAGCTACCTCAAAGAGAACAGATTGTTGTTCCCCCGCCTGCAGGACCTCATCAAAAACCCGGAGAGACGTAAAACAAGATGAGAGTCGAGGCCTTCGGGGCATCTGTCACAGAGGGCAGAGTTTTCTCTGCACGGCGGCATTTTTATATGGTTCTGTGCTAATTTGCATTGAGAAGTTTCAGCTAAGATGACGGATTTGGAAATGAAGTATTTAATAAATAGGAAAACTAAATGCAGGAAAAACAGATGTCGTGTATCTAAATCACCAAATCTCTGATTATTAAACATTGTGTTGCCATTGCATTCCTGTCACAATATCTTGATATTGGTCACATATGCAATTGCTCATCAAAAAGATTAGGGAATGGGGTCATAAGCTCTTATCAGTTGCTCTTTCAACATTTTTCTTCTGTTAGGAGTCTATGAGTCTGATGAGGTTTTCCTAAACGTTCCTTATTTGGGAAAATAATGAGCTCTCGTCACTGCATTGTGCTCCAGAAAGAAGTTCTCAAAAGTGTCTTCCTTTCACAGCTAATGTTTACGTTTCCATTCTTATCTTAGAATCTACTGAACTGATTTGTTGATTTTTCAATTATAACCAAATTTCTAACAATCTGTGGGTTAAAAACAGATAAAAAAATAAATAAAAACACCATCCTTGTTCCACTGTGTAAGGATTGTAAAATACTCCATAAAATACTCACCTCATGTTACAGCAACACTGCTAAAGTACACAGTAAATGTTTTTTTTTTTTTTTTTTTTTTTTTTTTTTCCCAGTATTTGAAATCTCAAGCGGGACAAGCGTTTCCAGATTAAACTACAGCGCCTGCTGAAAATGTGACAAATGTGAAAGGCAGGCCTCAGGACCAGACGCTCCTCCCTGCTCACATCTCCCTCGTCCTCCCTGCAGTACTTCCTGAAGCTGTGCGTGGCACGTGTTTGAGGCGTTTCCCCGGTGTTTGACTTGGCCGGGTCCCACCGGTTCTCCCTGCAGGCATCTGGTGCTTTGCACAAAGAAAAGAATCACAACAATATCACTCTCACCTCATCCTGGCTGGCGTCGGCTCGCTGCATTAGGGTTTGAGCCGTGGAGCCAAAACACGTGTGAAAAGGAGGTACAAAATGTTCCACTGCAGGTAAATATTCGAGTGACTCTGAAGGTGTTTGGGGTTTAATAATTTTTTTTAATTTTATTTAGTCTTTTTCACTTTTCAGCACAAATAAAAAACCTTTTACCAGGTTTAAGATCAAAAGCTTTGGCCAAAACTGGCAGCATACAGAGAGTGGAAGCAAATATTGCATGAAGGATTGAACTATATAAACATTTATAGACCTTGTCAAAATCCATAGCTCCATCTAAAAAGTGACTTGAGTTTTTTTTTTCTTCTTCTTTCAAATAAAATACTAAACAATACGCCAAATGTTATAGTAGTTGATGGTGCCAGTACATGAAGCACTGCTCAGACTGAAATCTGCTCTCAAATCAAACGATGCATCATTCTGATGCAACAAATGATCCCAGACATATTTTCTTGCTTTCTTTGATTGCTTTATGCTTTCTTTGTATTTTGGATTTTTTTTGTTTGTTTGAAAATCCAACAAGCATACAGAAGCAAGGATTTTTTTTAAAATCAGCTGGTTTACTTGAAGTGATGTTGTTTTTTTTAAAGACAGATTTAGCTTTTAAGAACATTGTCCCTGAAAATAACAGTTTTTATAATGAGCATAACCTCACTAATAAAAGACAAAAGCGTTCAATATGACAGATATTATCTTAATGTTCAGCTTTTGGGAAACCCAACCAAAACGAGGATGTTTCTGAGTAGACAGCAAAGCCTTTTAGGGACTTTAAATTAGCTAATTTCCTATTGAATCACTGTTAAATGTGTTGCAGATTATGGTAGGACATGGGTTTGTACCCACAAAATTCCTGGTGACGCTCGCTGGAGAAAAACCAAACAGGAACAGCCGCCTGACGACTCTACATTCAATCAGCTTCGAAGGTTTTTTGCCAACAGTCCGCCTTCATTAAAACGGTCACTGGCCTGAACTTTTAATTTCCATTTATCTGCTCACATAAAGTCAGCAGTTGTAAATTTATCACAAACCTTCTGAGGAGGAAAAAAGATGTGTGGAAAATTGATTTTAATGTCACATTTCTGTCACAAGAACGTCCCAAAGTTTCTGTGCGAGTATTTCTGGTGATTTCACGAAAGCTGCAGATGAACGCAAAACATCAGGGTTTCATCAGAATACGTGTAATTGGAGAGATAATTTAGGCCAGATGACAGCTTGAAATGTAATCTAATCTCTTATATGAACTCAATCTCGAGGCGTCACTTAGCAGAAGATGGGTAAATAAACTGAAGCGGTCTCATCAAGCTCAGTCCTGATAAGACTGACTTACTTTGATAAAACAAAACAGTATTTAGGGCATAATGAAAATGTTTTTCAAGTCATTTTCTTACCTACCTGGTGAGTTATAAATGTCTGTCAGTGTTTGACTCACCGACAGATGAAATGAATAACGGAGCTCAGGCTTATCAGACAGTGAAGCTCATCTCCTTGCCCTTTAATTTTATACAATTTTTGCATATATTTTTTTGAAAGGCTGATTCATCCTTTTTGTTGCATCTCCGCCACCTAATCTGTCTGGTTTCTTCCTGACTGAAACACTCGCACATCAAACTGAGTTCTGTAAATACAACCTGCAGGGTTGTTGGAGCCGGTTGGTGTATTTTGTACTTTTCTGGCCTGAACTGGTCCGGTCTGGACAGGCTGAAGGTAAAATGAGCTCGGCTCCTGTTTGGTTATGGGGAGGGTCCTCCCACCAGCCAGGAAAACGGCACTTACTGAGGCCTCTGTCTGTGTTATTGCAGCAGTGCAGGAAGAAAGGGGGAGCTGGGGCGGACCCTGCAGACAGACAGAGGAAGGGTCTCCACAGACAGATGGAGGCATTTTGGACCAAAAATAAAGGCATATAAATACGACACAGACAGAAAAGAGCTCTGACCTAAACCCATACAGCAAAACCCCCCAAAAAGTTTTAAAAACCTACCTTACTTTTTAAAGTGTTAGATTGCAACTAAATCAGTCCATCATGTCTACAATGCTTGTTGCTTTATTTCTTTTGATAGATGCAGTTAGATTATTGCAAGGAAGTCTGCATAGTGGATGGAAAAGATGATCTTACAGTTGCTTCTGCTCTTCATTTAAAAAAAAAAAAAGAAAAAAGTTTGAACTTGCTGGTCATCTGGTGCCTCCATGTGGTATTCGAATGACATTTGAACTAAAAAAACAAAACAAAAATAACTCCATAAGAATCAGAAGAAAATTTTAGAAGCAAAACAAAAGAGGGAAATTCAAATTGTCTGATTTTTTTTTTTTTTACAGTTATTTCAACTTTTCAGAGTGTTGTCTGTTTTATTTTAAATTTTATGGTATGTTTGTTTTGACTCTTCAGTTCAATTTAACTGTAACTGGAAGGCGCCACTTGCAAATAAAGAATTTATAACGAGGAGGAATGCAACCGCCTTGACAGACATTTTAAAAGATTATGGCAAACATGGGTGGTTCTACACAGGGGCCGGCAGGGGCCAGTGGCCCCCAGGGCTGAAGACACGGGCATAATGTACGGGGGGGGGACACGTCACCCACACTTCCTGTCTCGCTGGCCTCTGTCATTACTCTTTTTTATGAATTTTAAATGGAAATAAACATAGTGCTCTCCCACTGTTTAACAATATAACTTATATTGTTATATTTTTTTGTTATATTATTCAAGTTCTCCAGTTTTAATATTGATCATTTTTGCAAAAACAAAACAAAACAAACAAACAAACAAAAAACACAAGACTGTCATAGACTGTTATTTATTTTTATTTATTTTTTTTCAAAAAGTAATTTGTCTTTCAAAAAAATGCAAAAAATGTCCTCTGCACTGCCAGGGCTGCAGGTGCCAGGCTTTTACCAAATGCATATTTAATAAACTAACTCAGCCAACCCACAAGCAGGTGAAGCTGTGTGTTTTACATGTGTGTGAAAACCCAAAACAACTCAGCCGCTCTCTCGAGGAAGCCTTGTTCTCTGCAAAAGCAGCCGGCGTGTGGCCTGTTAAAACCCTGCAGAGCAGCTGATGTGTTTGTGCTCTTCTACCACCAAACCCCTCCATCTGGTTCAAGTGGATCTCTTGAAGGCAGAGAACCTCAGGGTAGCACAATAAACACTTTTTTACACACACAAAGAAAAACAGTGGTCATCTTTTTTGCTCTGATT